AGTGGATAGTACTAGCTTATATATTATACTTATGTGGTGCGTTAAGAAATCTTTTGAGCTGTTTATTATACTTAAATTACATATCTTACTATACTATAATCTACATACTAATATTATAAAGAGGTAAAGTTTGTGAATTGCGAGTTTGTGACGTTGTAGGGGGTAATCTCTGGATCTACTGAACCGATTTAGATGTAATTTGATAAGAAAATAGTTTGAGACTTTTTATCCCGGAAATCATCCGTTAAGAGTGTGAAAATGGGGATGACAATTTTTATGGGCAATCAACCTAGGGACGAGCCCGAGCGAAAAAGGGTGAGTCGCTAGTTTTATTATAACGTAGAGCAGTAGCCAGTAAGTGGATTTACGTAATTTATTTTTTTCAAAATTAAAATTTTTATGTCGTCAGGAGCTCACAATTTTTGATATACCTTGGTACATTAACTTGTAACATTACCTGATTAGATGTTAAGTTATTTTATTCTTCAAAGATGGCAAATAAGTATGAGTGACTTGCCATTTATATTGTTATTTCAGATAGATTAGATATACTTTCTCTGCTCCGATTTACTCACTCCTGATAAATTATAATGGCAATTTGTTTTAATCGTGGTAAATAAACATAGGTTTAGGCCTTGTTCACATTTTGGAGGAAAACTTGAGCGACTATAAAACCTTTCTTAAATATGGCCAAATATGTTAGCAATTTTAAAGAAGTGGATCACAAATTGTTGAAGCGGTGACCGTGAATCAACAAAGAGAACAACAAAAAGAGATATTTACTGTATTGTGTGTCATGTATAATGTAACACAAAAAGTCATATTTACAGATACACTTAAGCAGACATAAATCAACCAAATTATTACTATAAAGAAAACGTATACCCAATACCTACTCGATTTAAGAACCTCGTTATTTTCTAAACTTGTTAAACAATAGTACCTTATTATAAAGTCGTTAAGGTTTTTACATATTATTCTTAATTTTAGGCTGCTCAATCATAGAGCTACTGCGCTACAAAGCCGACATTATTTGAATTTAAAAATTACTAGGGCCTTACCCTCGCTTCACTCGGATGTGTGTCTGACCTTGAATGGTTAAGAAGACATAAACATAAATGTCCAAAGAACTAGTTTTGCGTCAGGAACTTTCACAGGCGTAAACTGATTAACCCACCCGAGTTTCATCATAATTAAAGCAATGGCTTAGTAACGCATAGAGGACAAACATACGAACATTCATTTTTAAATATCAATATATTTATCAATATAAAAGATGAAAATGATGAAAAAAATTAAAACGAGCTGACAAAGTATTTTGCAGTCGGAGACATATATGGTACATATACATGTATATTGGGCATCAACTGCCTCGGTGGTCTAGTGGCTAGCATGTACGGCTGCACACCCAGAGGTCCTAGGTTCGAGTCCCGGGTCGGGCCAAGTTTAGTTATTGAGTATTTCTGTATAGTAAGCCTCAGTAACAGCCCGGAGTTGGGAAGTTGGCGGTGTTTCACCCCCGTGCCTCGGAGAGCACGTAAAGCCGTCGGTCCTGCGCCTTAACTCTCACCGGGCGTGTCGAGTGGTCGTCCCATCAGAGTATGAGAGTGATAGGAATAGATTGTGCTCGTTGTGTCTGCGCAATGCGCGTACACTTGTGCACTATGATATCTTCTGCGCAGTTAGCTAGTCTCAATGTCGTCGTAGTTGATCGTAAGCGATCCTGCGACGCCCCATTAAGACGGGGAAAGGCTTTGTTGGGGTTTAGTGGGTAGTACTTGCCTTGCCGGTGAGTCCCACACCTCGTGCGTAAATGCATTTCCCAACGTTAAAAAAAAAAGCTAGTCTCAATGAGATTGGCCGCCGGTCAGGAGAATATCAGATTCCTATAGGCTCTGTTAGGCTCTGACAAGTAAAAAAAGCCACAGATGAGAATTCCTGACAATTTAGGATAATTTTGATAATCTACTGTACTATTAACCACTCAAAAAATAGTAATCTATAGATGGCAAATAAACGTATTAAGGCCTGAGGTATTGAGTACCTATTGAATTGTTTTTTTGACCAATTTATACTTAAAAACCATAGCAGATCAAGGGCTCTTCAAAAGAATTTGCTACGGGCCCCGCGCTTGCTTAATCCGGCACTGAACCCACCTTATGGCGCAGTGCAGTAGGTTAATAAAGTTAAAGACTAGTGTATGAGCGTATACTAAAACGAATAATTTATTCGAAACAACTCGTTAGATACCTTTTTTATGTTGATAGCACTGTCTGGAACTATTACCGCAGACGGTCTAATAGCCTACAATAATTAGGTACTTATATTAGTTATTTGAATTATAAAGTAAATTGAAATATAATTATAAATGTTATTTAATATTTACCTTAAGTTTTTATACTATAATATTAGTAGTAGGAATTGAAATACTAAAAATATTCTGAAGGTTTGTACAATGTACGGAACATGCGAGTACAATTCGCATATCATTGTTTTCTTGGGCATGAAACAAAATCGATGCGAGCTTTTAATTATAAACTTAAAAAATAAAAACTAAAAAAACGACTTCCAGGCACTAAACTGTAAAAAATAACTTTTCGAAGTCGGTGTCAACCGATGCAAAGCAAATTTAAAATAATAATATCGATCTCAGACCAATATTTATTAGTCTGAGCCTGGAAGTCGGTTTTTTTAAAGTTTAATTTTTCCATTTTTAGTGTAGACGTACTTAAATAAATAAATAAATAATAATACTTTATTTCACAAAAATACATACATATTGTAGTTGAAAAGCATATTGAACAGTACATTTTGAAACAAACAATTTAGACTATCAGTACAAATAATACGGTTGTCTCTGCTGCCGTACTAGGAGACCTGTATTACGGCATACAGTGCCAATCCCCCAAAATATTGTCAGAATTAAATTATCTGTTTAGTTTGCGAGTGTGCCATTTTGAGCTGTTGGTTGGTGCTATATGTATATATGTATGTGTCTGTGATGGGTGTGTGTGTTAATGTGTGTGTGTGCGTGAGTGTGTGTGTGTGCGTGTGTGTGAGAGAGAGAGAGTTTGTTATGAATGCGTAGTGATTATATGAAAAAAAAAAAAAAAGTAGTTCTTATCTGGAGTAGATCAGCAGTGATTCTGTGTTCGAGTAATCCTGTTTTAGAAGCCAGTCCGTAAGTTTATGTTTTAGGTCGTAGGTATTTAAATCTATAATGTTTAATTTTTTATGAAGGTTTCTATAAATATGTACACTTAGGACAAAGAATTGGTTTTTAGCAAACGAGGTTCTGTGTTGCACATTTGGTGGAAGGTTTGTTCGTTTATTTGAATTTGATGGGCTAACGTTCTTGTGTCTTCTCAGAGTCGACATGAGCACGAAGAGCTGTCGGACCGTCAATACGTTAGTTTCTGAATAGACTTGGGAAGTTGGGTATTTAAAGGGTTTTCGCAAAATAACTTTAAGTACAGCTCTCAACCCTAAGAAGACTTGCTTTACTTGCACCGCCCCAAGCAGCAATACAGTATCCAATGATCGATTGACATAGAGCGAGGTAGGTCATTCTTAGAATCTCTAGGTTAGATGACTCCCTAAGTAGTTTAAAAGTGTGGATTAGTCGCATTATTCTAGTGACGAGAGCGTTTATATGAACATCCCACCTTAATCCATCATCAATTTGAACGCCTAAATACTTTACAGTGTCAGTTCTTGTAAGAGGGGCACAGGAGCATTGTATTATCGGTGCGTCACATGTGTGGGCAATTATTGAGTATGAGTTTGGAGGTTTATTTCTGCGGCGAATAGTGAAAGGGATGTATGCAGTTTTGTTGATGTTTAGTGTCAGAAGATTTAGTTTCAACCATTTCATGATACTTTTGAGGGCATATTCAGCTTTTATCTTGACCAAGCAGATAATTTGTAAGAAGAAAGTTTTTAATAAAATATTCGATATAGCAATTTATTCAAAGAATATATTGTTGATTTTTTTAAAAACCGCTCGACCGATTTCGATAAAATTTATATGGGACCACCTGAGAAGTACACCCTTGGAAACAAAAGAAAAAAGTTCAGGCGTCTTCGAGTAATCGGAGAACATACATAAAAAAAGATTCCAACGAATTGAGAACCTCCTCCTTTTGGAAGTCGGTTGCAAAATATTTAATTTACGGATTTGACTCAGTTACAATTTTATTATATGTATAGATTTATTATAGCGACATCTATATGTGTATACACTATACACGGTTATTTGATATAATATTATGTACATATATTATCGCTTAGATGTATAATTAAACATCATATTTACTAACGCCATCTTGTGAAAGATTTGGGTATCACTTAGTCTCGCTTAGTGTATGACTCTCGTTTTGATGATCTCTTTTGAATGCCAATCAGCACTCCGAGATGTCAGGACGGAAGCTTTTAAAGCAAAAGAAATAAGAAAAATTATATATGTAATTTAATAATACTTGTTACGCTTTATAAGAAATATTGAATAACAATACGGTTATTATAAATTAATATATAAGTATAAATACAATTAAAGATATCATCATTTTACACCATTTTATCTATAAACTGATGTTAATATGTATACCTAAATTATTTTTTCACATAATGAATAGGTACTTAAATGTAAGAGAACATCAACAACTGTAATTGCGCTTGTAATGAACCTTTTGTTATTATTAGAAATACGATGTAAATCTCAGACCATATTAGTCTGCAGTGTAAATAATTGAAATGCGACAAAGGCGAGATGATTTGCTTTGTCTCAACGAGTCTGCATGTTACAATAAAGTGCATTGTTACTCGTCACAACACGCAGTCATTATGTTCAACATATTTACAAATTAGCGCTGAAATGTCCTGTGTACTTATAATTATATACAAGACAAAAGACATCTGATAGGCGTCCGCGCATTCTATTGCGCGACGTTGCTTGTAGCGCACGCGCGTCAATTTATGTGTGAAAATATTATTTCGTAAAAATGATGCTCGCGGGAGCTGAAATAGTGGAAAAGGGCAGTGTGGCGTATAAAGCGGATGAAGCTGGGAATTCTGAAGCCGTCATTTCATCTGGCCCTTCTCAGAGCCAAGCAAAGGGCTTGGCTCAAGTGCCAACCAAAGAACCTGTTGACATCCAGTTTACAAACATCACCTGCACTGTGTCACTCGGGATCAACAAAGGTATTGTGACAATGACTTATATAAGATTATTTTCTTCATTTAATACGCTATATTCCAAACCTTGTTCGATCTCGCCTATTTATCAAGGTACCTATCATGAATACGGAAATTTACTTTTATTTATATTTTAATTAATAATAAATTAACAAAATAATGATTAACATTTAAAAATAGTTATAACAAACATTGTTTTGTAGATTATTAGCTTTTGTTTTTTATGATAGATACTGTTTGTTTTATGCGTAGATAGGTGAAGGGTTAACTAATAATTTAGATCCCTCCTATAAACCTACATCGAGTAAAAACAATGTCATACTGAGATAATTTCCATATATTATTATTCGAAAATGCGTTTCTTAGCCTTTCCTTTTTCTTTTATTCATTATGGCACATCAAGTACTTAATTTCCGACCAAAATGTCTCTATTTCTATTATTACTTTAATACACTAAGGTTAATTATTATTCACTATTAATCACTATTTCATATTATTATTAGTATTTTTAGACAAAACTATTTGGTTAGACAAGAGTTCTCAATGACACCTAACAATGCTTTAGTCTGAATTACATTTATTAATAAAAGAAGATTGACTTTATTTAGTAAATAGTAACTATTCCAATTCACGTAAACATTATGTTATGCACAGAAAAATAACAATTGAGTACCTCTACCTTTCTGAAGTCGATCAAATACGTACTAACCTACTTTTAAAATCCAGAAGGAGACAAGCTTAATAAATTCTCGTATTGCTAAATACATATCGTATACAATAGCGAGTAAGCAAAGAAACAGTATTGTTATAATTATATTATGTTTATTTATGTATTAAATGTTTTTTTTTTCTAAATTTTTTTTGGTTCTTGTAACCTTTCTAATTTCTTCTTTATAACCTACGTAGATAATCATTGTGATTGGATTCAAACCCTAAGGTTATAGGCATAAACCTATAAATGACGGAAATTATTACTTCACCAAAAGAAATAAAGACAGTAGGTAGTAGGTACCTACTTATAATAAGAAAATAAAATAAAAAATAAAATTTGACGCATGAGCAAAATAATGGCAAATTGATGATGATGATGGTTAATTAGTTAATAATGGAAGGGCAATGAACTAAAATTAACATTGAATATTAGTTCCAAAGATTAATCACAACGATACAAAAAATAAAGAGTTACGAGATAAAAAGTTTTTCACGTACCACTCTATTAGTAGCGTCAATATTAGCAGAATGATATTTCTAACCAATAATTTTAATTGCATATGACAACAAAATAATGAGGAGACAAACTTTAAAAAAAGCTAATAAATAAAGCTTTAAGCTTTCATGACCGATGAACTTGTTTTTATAATGTAAAATGGGTTATTTACCATGTTTTTCACGTACTTTTATGAATCCCCGATATATCGGCACTGTTACAAGCCATAGTCACGGGTATACCCATGGCAGCTCATGTAGCTGCATCAGTATCAGTAATCAGGACCTCTGTTTTATATAAAGCCTGCATGGAACATCATTGTAGCTCGTACTTGTATTGAGGTAATTTAAAAATAGAAATTATTCTCTCATACATTTTTAAAACTTATAATTGTTACAAAACTGAATTACAATGTTGTTTCTTACAAGGTGAATCATGACAGCTATACCATGGTAACGATCTGCCAAATATTAAAAAGGAGTTGATATTACATATTACTTATTATTTACTTTAATATATATACATAACACCTCGTCGTATGGCCTCTACTGGTGACAGGAGAGCTGGCGCATTTTTCGCCCAAAGAATCGGCATTGCCATTCAACGGGGGAATGCGGCTAGCTAGCATTCTTGCCACTATTCCACGCGGTCATGACTTGTACAGTAATAATTAAGTGTGCATTTGTAATTTTCTTTATTGTAAATAAAAAAAATCTTTAATATAAAATGTAAAGGAGAAGCATAGAATATTTGTAATTTTATTAGAATACTAGCATTGCCCGCGGCTCCACCCGCGTTCAGATGACCAAAAACCAAATTCTTAGGTTTTACATATTAGTATTACATTGCAATTTTTGTATTTCTTCTCAGAACTGAGACATTTCCCTGCGGTAAAAAGTACCCTATATGTTGACCCGGATAACCAGCTATCGCCATACCAAATTTCATCAAAATCCCTCCAGTGGTTTTTCCGTGATGCGGTAACAGACAGACAGACAAAAATTCTAAAAACTATAGATTCGGCCTATAGATTTGTAATTTTATTACTTTAAAGCAATAAAATTACAAATATTTTAATAAAATTCTATTAATCTGCAATAAATAAAATCTGTTAACATTTATATTTTCCTTATTGTAGGTATATAATATATACGAATAAGGATTTGACTAAGGCTAAAATTTGCACTTCATAGCATGGAATATCTATTATTAGATACTAGTGGACCGCAATAGTTTCATCCGAAATCTTTTTTTTTTATTTTCAATATAGAATTCTTTTTATATACTCGTAGGTAATGCAAATCTCAAAATTTTACTAATTTGAATAGATATATTAACAGTACTTTATATTAAAATTATTTGTGTGTTTCTCATTATATTAACTTAACTGTTTATATAATCTATAAAATTAATTATTTTTCTGTCCTTTAAATAATTAATAATAACCTAACAATTAATTTCCTATATAGTCTATATAAAACCACATTTAAAAATTCTATTCAAATCATAGAGTTTTTCATTAGCTCTTTACCCAATCTGAAGAGTTGACTTTTTAAAAAAGCATATTATGTAGAGTACAAGGAATATTTGAACTAAATTTGTTTTTTTTTTTCAGCAAAAAAATTAAACACTGTGATACTTAATACGGCAGAGAATATTATTAGACTTTACTCGGTCCAGGCAGTAGCGGATCTAAAGTTTAAGTTTCGAGGTCAGAGATTGGACTTTTCGAAAAGTTCAACTTTAAAAATAAAATAAAAGATTGATAGAATATAAATACTTTATTGAGAAAAATACAGAAGAGCCCTAACAACACCCGCGATTTTCAGTAATTTCCTGTGATATAGTAATATGAAGGAAGTACCCGATAAGCCGAGATAATAAATAGCTTATGAAGTTACTATAATGTAGCTTCCCATTAGTTTTATATTTTTAGAATCAAATCATTATTTCCTGAATTAGAACAATCTAGCTCAGAAATTTTAGCAATTTATAATATTAGTATAGTAAAGAAGGGCAGTAAAATTAATACGAGGAAAGTACGTAACAGAACTTAGAAATATTTAACTTAGTGATGATACATATATACAGCGTACAGTGTACACTGCACATACGACCAACATGATGACGTGACTCATAAATTACATGAATTACCCGAACAGCTTTTTCTGATGCGAAGAGAACTGGTTATCTCAGTTATAAGCTCAATTATGAAGCATAAAGCCTTGGTTTTTAATGCTATTCTCGCAAATATTTGTTATCCAACTATTTAGATATATATAAAATATCAGAAACAGCGCTAAGATTGTAGATTTTTTTTGCCTAATGCAACACAGGTCGGTCGAATTCGACCATGTAAATTTTACCTACACATAGTAAACACGTGACTGACTGATGCACAAATCGATGAATACCTAAAATCTTTTAAAGTTGATATTTAAAACAACTAAAAAATATTTTAAATTCAAGGATAACCGCATCAGGAAATTGCCTCTTCTAGACGAAAGAATTAACAATTTTGAAGGCTTGTGTTTTCACGAGTTGTGTTTACATGACTGCGATTTTTAAAGCGAAGTAAAACAACAAACTATGCAAGATTTACGTCGATATATTTTATCACCTAATAAAATTATTAACATATAAATTATAACGAATTAGCGACACGCTAAACATAAGCTCTAACTTTATTGACATCTTTCAATATTTTAATGTAGGTACTGATTTCTTATAAGATACTAGCATTACCCAACGCTCCGCCCGCGTTCAGATGACCAAAGACCAAATTCTTAGGTTTTACAGATTAGTACACTCTTACATTGCAGTTTTTGCATTTTTTCTCAGAAATGAGATATTTCCCGCGGTAAAAAGTATCTTATATGTTGACCCGGATAACCAGCTATCACCATACCAAATTTCATCAAAATCCCTCCAGTTGTTTTCCGTGATGCGGTAACAGGCAGACAGACAGACAAAAATTCTAAAAACTATAGATTCGGCCTCTGTATCGATAATAATGCTTATTTCAATAAGATTTTCCAAAAAATATTTAATGTACAGATTCGACTCAGTTACAATTTTATTAAATGTATAGATTGAGTACGCGCAGATTTTTATTTGTAAATGGAGAGCTCACTTCGGCCTATATTTGTAGTTTAATCTTGTGAAAAATGTAGATAAGTCTAAATTAAAGTACACAGCATGCATGCCAAATTTTACTAAGGTGCATAAGTTGTTGTGTACTAAGCTGTATAAGTTACTATAGTTTTTTAACTATCCCACGGGAACTCTTTAATTTTCCGGCATAAAAAGTTATTCTAATATGTTAACCGGGAATATAAGGCACCACCATGCAAAATTTCATTTAAATCAGTCCAACAGCTTCAGAGATTATCCCGCGTCGAATAAATCTAGATTTGTTCTATTTCACTTCTTACATCTCCCTGACTCGGTTTTCGGCATTTTTTTTCTATGTACAGACCATGAACGAATTAGAGACAGACATTCGACCTTTACAGATTTATTATATGTAGGTATAGATATGGATATTGGTTTGCATTTTCAAATTTTCCATAACAAAACTTAAATATTATAATAAATATTTATCACTATTGAAAATTGAGCTGGTTTATTTTATACTAGCGACTCACCCTCGCTTCGCTCGGGTTCGTCCCTAGGTTGATTTCCCATACAAACTTTCATCCCCATTTTCACCCCCATAAGGAATGATTTCCGGGATAAAAAGTATCCTGTGTCCTTCCTTCCCAGGGTCTCAAACTATCTTCTGACCAAGTTTTATCTA